TCCCGGGCGTCCAACATGTAATGTGCGTGGTTCACTGCGCCCGATGTTTTCATCCTCAGGGTGCTCCGGTAGCCTCTCAAACCCAAATCCTGGTCCGTATACCCAGTCTCGCCGGTCATCAATGGGCTCGTTGGTATAAGTGGGCCTATTCTGGGGAATTGAGAGGCCTTCCCATTGGTTGGTCACGCCCTGGGTTGAGGTCTGTTGCTGTTCCCATTCTGCTAGGACGGATGGTCCGTCGGTGTGGAAAGGCGCCGCGGCGAGTGTAAGTCGTTCCGCTGATCGCGCAAAATAATGATCAAGCTCGGTTCGCAGTTGGTCAGTCGAGCCTTCAGGAGCCGCCAGTGCGAATTCGTTGGGTCCAAACGGTGGGTCAGGCTCTTCGCCGTCACCATCCGCTATCCTCATGGCTCTTTGTCCCAGCTCCATTGCAGGTAGGAGTTCCTCGATGGCCACGCCCTCGGGTCCGGTCGACCCAGGTGACCGCCCTCCAGATTCCGGAGTGCCCGGGTAGCTAGGGGGGGGCGTCGACCCAATGCTGGGAGGCGAATCCGACCGTGCTCCATCTTCCTGGAGGGTAATCACCTCGATCCCCTCATCCTCAATTGGGGGAACTTCGATGGGTCCCTCTAGCTGGTCACGTAGGGTCGGCCTGAAACTGTGCTCGTAACGGAGTCGCACGCGATACGCGCGAGCCGTGTCAAACCGATTCATTATCACGCTCAGCACGTCCGCGGTGGCGTGAATCACTTCGTCTAACCGTATTCTGGCTAGGTCGAGAACACGCCAGGCCCTGCTACGGGAGTCGCGCGGGCATTGAAGGCGCTCCCGGAGTCTGTTCATCTCGCTGCGTGCTTGATGGTTCAATGGGAATATGGAGTCGCTCGCCGCTTCCAGATCAGAGGTATGGGAGGTGAGCGATACCATTCGCGTGTCAAGTTCCTCAGGCGTCATGAGGGCAAGTTCTGGCGGAGCAGGTTCCTCAAAGGGGTCCAGGCGGATGTCTAGTAATCGCTGGCTCTGGTGCCACAACTGTTCGGCGGCACTTAGGCGCATCAGTGCGTCCCATTCGTCATTGGCGGGCCGGGGTAGCGTGTCACTCTCGTGTCGCGATTCGAAGTCGCGGGCCATTTGACCAAAGTCGGTCGCGGGTTCGTCCTCGTACCTATGGGCCTGCCGGAGTCCATCGAGGATTGCTCCCCGTTCTCGAGCGGTGAATGCGGGTAGGCCGCTCTGGGCGCGGTGTCGAGTCAACAGCTGGAGGTCCTCGCCGGCGGACTCCGAGAATCCTCCTCTAGGATTGAGGGGATATGGCAAGTTATCCATAAGTAGTAGTACCTCTGCGGTGGATGGACCACGGTGGGGGGTTTCCTCGATCCGCATAGAGAAGTATTGATAGCGCATTGTGCTCAGTCTTGCCTCATCGAGCTCCCCGTCTTCGGTTAGTTCTGCTAGGTCTCCGATGTGAGTCGGTTCGGGGTCCCCATCCCCTTCGTCATACTGAGGACCTCCCCAGTCGTCATGCATTGGAGCGTCTTCGAGGTCTTGGGCGAGTTCTTCGTCATCTGCGGGATAGCTGTCGTACACCCGCTGGGCCCCGACCCGAGGACGCTCCTTAAAAGATGGCTGGTCGGAGTATCGAGGACATATCGGGTTATTGCCTAGATGTCCAAGTCCTCCGCATTTGAAGCAGATCTTTTCAGCGTGAAGATTCGGTCCTGTGGGTCTACTGGTAGGCGTCCGAGCCGTTACGTTCGTCGGATTGGTCCGGGGCTTAACCTCCACTGCCGTTGCGGTGGGGCGGTTGGTAGCCATGGGTCCCCGAGAGGCGGGTTCGGGCCGAGTCGAGGGCGCGCCAGTTCGGAGGCGACCGCTGCCTCTGGCTGTCTTCATTGCGTCCCACAGTTGGTTGGCGTGGGACCGCATTTGCTCGAGGGACGAATAAGCGGTCGATATTCCTCTGAGAGACTTCAGGTCGTCATGAAGGTCAGCGGGGATCAGCCTCATGAATTTTTGTCTGAGTATGATTTCAGGCATCGGCTCCCTCATCCGGCGGGAGCAAGTCTCGAGGTCGTCTACGAGTTTCATGGGCCCGTCCTCAACACGGAATCGTATCAGATCAAAGTCTCGCAATGCATGATGGGCCGTAGCCGTCGTAATAAATCTTCGGTGGAGCGCGCAGAGAACCTCGATGAACTCAACTTGGTCCTCGGACGATTCGGGGCGATTGTTGTCGATAAACTCAATATACCATTCGAGAGCTGCGCCGTCCAACAGGTTTTTGAGTATCGAGACCCTGTACTCATCCGCGTCCGGTCCTCCATAAAACGAGGTTCGCATCCAGGCTACCAGCCTCTCTAACCACTTGATGAATTCGACGTGGTTGTCGGTCCCCGTAAATTTGGGAGGCGTGTCGAGTTTAGGTGGACGTATACGCGCAGGTAGGTTCAGTTCCTCGCCAAGCTGACGGTCAACGATGCGGGTGATCTCCTCATCAGTCTCCCGGCGGAAATTTTCAAGAACGTCCCCTTCATCGATGGCCGTGAGGTACCCAGTGTGGCTGAGGGCACTTATGCCCTGGCTTGTGGGTCTCCCGGGAGTGAATGGGGTATGAACTCGGCCTCGGCGTGGTGCAGTTGAGATGCTGCCGATATCTTCAAAATGAGCGGTACGAGGTTGTGGTTCGGGCGGCGTGATGACCTCGGGCACGGGGTGGAATATGATGGGCTCAAATGCGGCGGCGGCCCGATCTCTTCGGGCTAATGCTGCCTCAGCTCGGCGGCCGAATTCCTCAATGCTCTCCCCCGGTCGTCTAGGACTCAGCGCAGCGTGAACCCCGGCGAGCACGTCGGCCGGAGTGGGCTCTGCGTTAGCGGGGTTACTTAACTCGGTGAGTTCGGGCCGTCTCATTTGTTGCGTTCGAGCATTGGAGGCACTAACCACAATCTGCCTTAGCAGGTTCTCTGACGTCCCAAGGTCCTGAAGGACCTTAATGTTGTCGCTCACGCATTGGGTGAGAAGGTCATGGCGACTAATCATCTCGTCGTGTATACTTGCTAGACGGTTGTTGACCTCGTCCCGAAATAATACAATATTGGCGTGATTGGCTAACGTGTCTTGTTGATGATCGAGTACGACCGCAGTCGTAGTGAACAGTCGGTCACGGCCTGTAGCTACCGAGCCTCGTAACCGGTTGAGCGTGGCCAGTTGTTGCTCATTAAGTCTGTCGGGACCGAGTTCAGCTAGTAGATCGGCCAGCTGGGCATTAATTCCGGCCCCGCCATTGTCAGTCGCGGACGCATGCGATTCTTCTGGCAAGTCGGATTCCTCGGAGGGTGTTTTCTGGTCCTCGTCCGAAGTCGACGGTCTCACTGTGTGAATCCTTGACAGCTCCTCCGGAAGAATTATATTGTCGTCGTCTATTACATCGATTCGAAGGCCGGTTTCCATATGGACGAGGTAGAACGAGCCGTCCGCCGCGGCGACCACTCGTGCGGTGAGCCCAGTGGGGGCACTTGGAGAGGTGGTCCCTGGTCTAGGAGATCCGGACGATACGAGGGATGGACTCCTGGTTTTTGGGGCCCCAGACTGGTCACCGGCCAGTAGGGCGAATATCGCTTGATGGGTCGCCTGAGATACATGGGTCCGTGCCGATGTAAATGTGGTGCCCGCGGAGGCGGTAGGCGGCACATGGAGGGCGTCGGAGTCAAGACGAGGGGTGGCCTGTGCTCCCGAGGTCGGCAGATTACTCTGCGATCTCGCGGCCGGGGTTGGTGCGCTGGTCGTAGTGCCAGTCATATGGGGTGGTACCGCGCGCCAGTTATCGCTGTTGGCGGCCGTCGAGCTCGAATCCAAGGGAGTCGACATGTCGCCAGTATTCGGTGTTCCGTGGGATTACGAATGTACCGAGTAGTTGTTTTTTTCAGAATGTAGAAGTGCTTCGAGTGAAGCCAATAGGGTTTAAAAAAGTGTTAGGTTGGTAGGGGTTTTAACTTAGGACTTAAGACACCACAACTAAACCGACCCAAGTTCTAATTGATAGAAAATAGGACGTGGTAGTAATGGGTCAAGTCTCAGTTGATCCCATCACACCACGACCAAACAACTATATAGTACATGATGTAATCGTTATGAAGTAAGCAGTAATTAATAGGTGCGATCGGAGTAGGGGTTACGAGTGTGAGCGATGGAAGCTATGCGTGCCTCTTACACGGAGGGCGAAGCGGGGGACGGAGCGGGGACTGAGGTCGGAGCGGAGGCGGGATCGGGGGCCGGAGCGGAGACCGGAACCGGAACGGGGGCCGGAGCGGGGGCTCCCCTGACAGTCAAGGTGTGAAACATCAATTTTTGTCCACCCTCAAGCCGCTCCCTCCACCGTGCATTCAAGTGTGGAGTGGATCTCCTTTACATCACCTCTCGTTAGAGGGAACATGTCTCCTATAAGATCCCTCTACCAAGAGGGGTTATGTGGGAACTACAAGTGGAATAATTGCGTGATTTTAGGTGGATGTGCGCGCTGGCGGACAAGCGGTGGGTGGGCAGCTGTCATGGGCTCGCCCGGCTTATCAGAGCATTGTGGCACGAGAGACCAATGTCTATACTGTCAGCATCTGGGGCGGGCCTGGCTGATTGTGGCTGCGCCTGGGAATGATCCCAGTGATGCGGGGCGATGGAGTGATCTCCGCTGATGTGGTGTGGATGCAGGGAGATATGGATACGTGCGTGCCAGGATGACTGCTTAGCGCCCCATATCAGCACCTTTGTTAGGCGGTAGTAGTGTTCCCAATATGTACTTCAAGTGAGGTTTCTGCGTGTATAGAATTAATTCCCAGAGCAACACTACTTAGGCCTGCCAACTTCATTATATTGCTAGGGTAATATATGTGTGTATATGTGGGCCAATTAGGTGCCTCAAGTTGGGACAAAATGGTAAGCCAGGACTCACCCTAGTGAGGGTCCTCACTATACATAACAAAATGAGAAAAGTAGTAGGAGTAAAATGCTCCCCGTGAGGGTCGAACTCACGACCTTCAGATTAAGTAAACCACTTTTACGCATTATTATGAGACTGACGCTCTAACCAACTGAGCCAGGGAAGCTTTTACCTAAAGGCCATATCATCTGTTGATATTAATGGGAGGTATTCCTGGTACCTGATCAGGTTCCAGATCTCAGACACAAATTACAAACTGTCACAATCATATCAGTCCAGCCTCCAAACATCCATAATTAAATAATTGAACAATTTGAATGTCTATGTCTTTTTTTTTTTTTTTTTTTTTTTTTTTTTTTTTTGGTGGTACATCATCGGCCGAAGGCCGATATCGCCCAAGACGCAATTAACAAAGTTAACCCGCAATGGACTTGTAAGCATGAAGGAAATTGCCCTTCAAAATGAGGAGGGGGGTCCACCCCCCAGGGAAATGCATTTACGCACGCGACAGTTGCCGCAAGTGTGGGGCTCATTGTGCTCTAGTCAAAAGACTCGCTCCTGTCTCCCTCGTCTGAGGTTGCAGAGGTTGAGCGACGTCGCCTAGGCACTATACCCACTAAAACCCTGGGTTCTCTCAACCAGTCATCTGGTAGGTCTTGTTCCTCGAGCAAAATCTTTTGCCAAGTTTTGAGGACCAAGAGTGGAAGGGTTTTTTCTTCCCCCGCTGGGCTTGCTCGGTCCCCATGAAACAGTCAATCTCAAGACGGGTGTCTAGTACGTGGGTCCATCGGTTCTGGACTTCGTTCGGGGAATGTACTTTTCCTTGAATTGCCCGCTCGCATCGGAGCTTCCAGATGAGGAAAGCGGACTCGGATATCAGGATCCGGAATAGCCGGTTAACACCTGACGGCTCGGCTTTACTTTCCTTTTCGAAGGGCGCGTTGCAGCAGCCCAGGATCCACCCCATGGAGAGGGGCGGAAGCTGACCGAACTTCATTTGCCATGCTTTCCGAACAAAGTCCCACACCTGCGCTCGGGCTGGGGACTGGCAGTCGATCAGGATGTGGTCGAGCGACTCCTCGACATTGCATAGGCTGCACATAGCTCGCTCCTCGTAGCCCGGAATGTGCTTCCAGAACTTACCAACCCGGTGCGCCCCGTGAATGCTCTTCCATAGAAAGTTCTTAACCCTACGAGACAGGTCAGGGTGGCGGATGGATGCCCATATTTTTGCGGGGGTGGGTATGCGCTTGAATAGTGTCGCGGAAGACTCTTGGATGAGCTTAACGTTCTCCTCGGTTGCTTTCCGGGACGGGACGGTGCGGGACTCTTTTATCCCTCTATAGGCTATGGCCTGAGTCATGGTGGCTAGCTTGGCACCTCGCAGTTGTGCGGCAGGCTGGATCTTAAGGAATGGGGAGTGGGTTTCATTGTTTTGCAGGCTCCCTTTCGCGAGGGCCTGTGCTCGGGATATGGGGGCGTCATTTGACGACGTTGGGGAGTGGAAGGTCGTCTTTGCCGTTCGGGCGCGCAGGCCAGCCGCTAGTGCTCGGAGTGGTCCTCTACCGGGGACCCCAATCCACCCATTGTCCTCCCACTTGCTGAGATTTTTTATCATAGCGCTCGCAATACCATTGCTCTTTGGGCTGATGTGAAGCTTCCTATTCTTCGGGGCGACCTGGATGCTATACAGCGCCGCGAGGATTTCCGCGTGCGCTTTGGACTGTGGTTGCTCGGAGGCAATCTTTAGGGCCGTGTTTGCGGGGCTTCCCTCGGTGAACCATATACCCGCGCCACTCTGGGCGTCAGCTTGTCCTGGGCGCGTACAATAGCTGCCGATGGCCACCTTTATAGGTCCCACTCCGGGGAAATCAAGCGGGACGGGCTCGGGGCCCTCTCCGGCCTCGTCCGTGTTGGGGGAGAGGCTGGTGAAAATTCGGATGCCCTCAGTAGGCGACCGGGTACTTTTGGGAGGCCTGAAGACCCCCTCTTGCTCGGCGCGCTCTTCAACCGCGTCGACCACTCGTCTGGGGTCCCATTTCGGGAGGATCTGGTTTAGCCGCTCGCGTACGGTAGCAGCACACTTGTGGGGGTTCCTGCAGCCTCTCTCGAGGCGGTCTTCGATGCACGGGGGGCAAATGCAGCCTGCGACTGGGCGGTGCGTTCCAAGGGTAAGGCGACTCATTACGTCGATTCCTTCGCCGACTGTCGTGACACCGTGTTTCTTCCGCAGGCACTTGCACGCCGCGGAGTTATTTATCTGGCGCTTTGCTGGGTCTTCCCCGAAGTGGTGGAAGAGCGGGAGGCGGTTGCACAGTTCGCGCGACGGGTGTAGTGAGTCAAACTCCACACCATACTTTTTAGAGCTCTTTATCATCTCTCGTAGGAAAGTGGGGAGACGGTTCGTCTTTGGCGACCAGTTCTGGAGGAGAAAGCTCTGGTGCGACTGCGGCTGGACTCTGGAGCCCTGTTTGTCGTTCTTAGCAAGAAGTTTGTTGCCGAAATAGGACCACTTGGAACGTTTCGCAGGGTCCTGTTCTGCCAGAGATTTAAGGGACATGATCTGAATGGCGTCGTTTCGGGCTCGGAGGTCAAACATGTTTTTCCCCCCAGCCTCTATGGGGGCGCCGAGCACTTCTCGACTCACTGGTGAGGACTTTGCACCAGCCCAAATAAACTCGCGCTGAACTTGTAGAAGCTTCTTTACCACATCTTCAGGCATGCCGTTTACCTGAGTCATATATTGGGTCATGGACGCAATCGTAATTTGAACAATATGTTGTCGTGCCTCAAGAGCCGGGTGGGTGCGGCCCCACTTTTCGAGCCGCGAGTCGATTCTCTCGAGTATCGGAGTCCATATGCCTTGAATGTCGACTTCATTTCCAACTCGGGCTCCGAGTATGCGAACTGACTCGCCGTCAGCCGCAATGTTAATGTGGGCAGGGAGGGCCGTGTCATCTTCGTTGAGCTTCCGAGTTGTGACAACTTGGGCCCGGTACTCAGGAGTACCTATCGGGATAACTTCAGTCTTTGTGACATTGAATTTGGCGCTCGACGCGAGGCACCAACGGTTCAAGATCTCCTGGAGTGCGTCGAAACTGTCTGTGTCTCGTAGATAGACCGTTGTGTCGTCGGCGAACAGAGCGGTCACTGCTCGCTCTATGGTCTCGTCAATCTCATACCCTTTGAGGTTTGATGCACGAAGCATAGCGGCGAGAGGCTCAATCGCAATATTGAAGAGCAGGCAGGACAGGGGGTCCCCTTGCCGGACCCCTCGAGTAACTTTGAAGGGGGTACTCAGCACCCCATTTATGACAACCTGGGTTTCGGCGTGTTCATATAACGCTTTGACGGTGCTTATAAACTTCGGGGGGATGCCCCGGTCGCGCATAGTCTGCCATAGGTACTGGTGTGAGGTCTTGTCATAAGCTTTTTCCTGGTCCAGGGCGACGATTGCGCCGTTCAGAAGCTCTTCTTCAGCGTACTCAACCAGGACATGTGAGAGGAAGATTTGATCGGCAATTTTCCGACCCTTCATAAACCCGGCCTGGTCCTTGTGAACAATTTCTGGCGCCACCTTTGCAAGCTTGGAGTTCAGAGCTTTTGTGAAAATTTTATAGTCAGAGTTTAGCACGGTTATTGGGCGCTGGTTTGCGATGTCGGTAACATCACCTTTCTTGTAGATGGGACACATCCATCCGTGAGCAAACTTTGTACCCCGCTCTACACCATTATTTTCTATGTCATTGTAGACTGCGGTAAGCATCCGAACTACATCGAAGATTAACTTAGGCTTGTGAGGGTCAGGCTCGGATTGACTGTCTGTCTGGAAAATCTCGTCGAGCTTTATCCATAGCTCGGTCTTAATGCCGTTCACTCCGGCCGCTACCCCGGAGGCAGATTCCCGCATTGCCATGTGTACGTCCACTTCTGTTAAGTCTTTCTCTAGGGCTGACATATCCAGGGACGCAGGTAGCGCCGGCATGGAGGCCAGCGCCGCGTCGATGTTTCTCGCCTTCGCTACCGGGTTGGCGGCGGAGGCGTCTTGTTGTAGGTCATTGTGGTAGTTCCGAGCTAGCTCGGCCATCTCATCAGAGCGCGTACAGCTTATTGGGGGAGTCACATCGGAGCGGCGCAGGATGTGGGCTGTGTCCCGTGGTTTCTTGTCCTTGACGGTTTGCACTGAGTATCTCGTGATGTTGTCGAGTTCGGTGTGGAAGCGAACCTTTGTACGGGTCTTGCGCTTGTCTCTTTGGAGTGTCAAGATTTTCACAATCCCTTTCTGCAGCTCTGCAGCTTTAGCCGCGGCCTCCTTTGGAGGCCCATCGGGGTCGTTCCCTTCATTTAGAATCTTATCGCGTTCGGTCTGCAGCTTAATCTTTTTCTGCTCTAGGGCGCCGGTATTTTCTTTGGCTCGTTTTTGTGCAAACTCCTGGAGCCCGTCTTTGTACCGCTTGAAACGTTTCTGGAGGGTGGACCCATCGTTGGGTGCGCCACCCTCAGGGTGGACGGTGATTCCGGTCTTTATGGCAAAGTCGATGAATTCTTTGTCACGATGCAGGTATTCGGGGATCTGGAAACGACCCTTTCCTATATAGGGTGCCCCCGGGGCACAGATATCCACCGATACCATCCTATGGTCCGTCGTAACTGGGACATCCGTAATATCCCATTTGCGGCACATTTTGAAAAGCTTAGGTGAGACGAGGATGCGGTCGACACGGGAGTGGGAGCCACTTGGGTGCGTATACGTGTACGCCTTAACGTCGGGGCTGGTATTCCGCCAACCATCTTTCATTTCTAACACCCGCTTGAAGCGTGCGAGGGCTTCGGTTGCGCCATCTGGGTCTTTTCTGTGCGGGAGGCGATCAATTGGTTCTTCCACGATGTTGTGGTCCCCGAGTGTCATATCGGGCACGGGGAGGTCCTCTTCAAGCCATAGGCGGGTGAGCTCATCCCAGAAAGCCTTATTTGCGCTCATGTCTCCTGACGGTGCATAGATAGCAAGAAGAGTGAGCGTTCGGGTGCCGTGCCAGGGGACTGTGACCAGGATTGCCCTCCCTGCGATCAAGTCATGGACTGTAACACCTTCGATGTTTGGGGTTTCTTTATTTAATACCACAGCGTTGAGGAACACCGGGGCGGATTCTTCGTCTGCAGGGAGTG